ATCTTCTTTGTTTGATAATGATCATCGGAAGTGATAAACAGCAGAGTCAGGCATATGCATTTCGTCCCATTTTAAAATCGTTGGTTGCATATGCCTGTACCCCAATGAGTGACAGTATTACCACCGGGACTCGTACCACGTACCCATTGCTTCAAATGTCAAAGTATATGCATGGGTTATAAATCTTGATTAGTGAGTACTAGATAGGAAACCACAGGATGTTTCTTTGCAGAAAAACACTAGTGAGCGTGACTAAGCAAAGTATAAAGTAGCTATAAGCAGTGACTCTATTAAATACCACGTTAACAACACCTGAAATAACCTATGAGACTTCGTTATCTTATGAAAATCTGCCTTTCAAATAGAAATAAACAAACCTTGTTGACTATTCCGGTTATTGCTGGGGTGGTACATAGAGTAACTCAACATTGAATGTCACCTTATCAACGAGTGAAGTAGCCAATTAGGTTTCTTCATTTTGATCGGAAGAGCAGATATTCGAGGTGAATCTGACAACTGCTGAGATAAATAATTATGTTAGTATTCATCACTGAGTCAAGTCAGTTGGGGAAATATTCAAGACCTGAGAGCATTGGGGAGCCATTTATTCCTGCTGTAGGACTCCTCAGTGTAACTCATCCACGACGATACCAGAGATCGAACTCAAGACCGTAAAGTTTCACGGCGAACACGTTAACCATTTGACTACCGGGTCGACATTTAATAGTCCATGGTTTCCTACTTCCATCAGTTCGCGATATAGAGCGACTATCAACGAAGGTTTTCAGTTTGCACTCGCTTCACATCCAGCGGCTTCTCACAAGAATTTTGGGATATCCACCAAGAAACATGTCCCCAATGAGCACCATGCAGCAATTTACTTTGGGGTTTGCAGCATCTATTACGGATTGACATGAGTTGAAGAACTACTAGGAAATTGAGAGCACTGGATAATTGCTTCGTTCCAGCATGGAACTCTTGAACAGTTGGCAACCACCATCACACAAGGGATCAAAATCAGGACCCTTAGGTCTGGTGGAGGCGAGCTATAACTATAATGTCTTCTTATGTTATTCGGCGTTTGATTTCATAAATTTATACTTTGAAAGCATCACTAATCTGAAGTGTTGTTTGCTAAGAGTTAGCCAAGTGAGGAACATAACACAAAGCGTTTCGTCCACTTTGAGACTTTTCAATCAGATACCATTTCGTCATCTAATAATATTAAAAATGTTGAAGTTATTACCAGGATTTGAAACCTGACAACCATTGCTCACACTCCTGAGCCATTCCCATTTGACTAGCTAGTTGGTTGAGAAAACATGCTTGATTATACAATGAGTATTACCTGATACCCATATTTTGCAAGTTCCACCTGTTTACTGCAGTACACCAAATTAAACCTGTTTATTAGGATATAAGCTCCTTGTACACTACGATTTACTGCATCTGTTAGCTAGATTATGGGAGTGAATCAGTAGAAAGCCTAGCCTTTATGTGACATGCCAGTTGGTACCTATCAGCGAGGATTATCTGCAAACATGAGCAAACTGGTGGTTTCTCGATCATTCAAACACACATCGCTCAGTGTTGAAGATAGAGACTTCAACACCGAGTCATTCAAATAACGACTAACCAGTCAACAGCTACATCGGTTATCTACAGGTGAACAAATCGTCTGTACACAATCAAGACCAACAGGAGGTTCTTTTTCGATGAAATGACTTAGTGGTAAAGTCACTGACATCGGTAGTAATTGACGTAGCTTCAAATCGCCAATGTGACACCTACAAACATAAGCACTAAACACAATCGGTACTTACTACCATTATTATTATTATCATCTCTATTTCCTTTTATATTTTGTTCAATAGTTTTCTTTTAAGGTTACTAGAATTCACTTAGCATTAACGTTGACTCTTTAAGTTATATTTGTCACCGTCTACATGCATTAACGTCCAGAAGGCGCCTACTGAAAAAATTGGTTTCGGACTTTCAATCGAAAAAGATTCTGAGCTTGATAGGTTGTAAAACATGTTTCGTTGTAATTGTCATTAGGTATCGATAAATAGGGTATTCACCTTGGCGAAGATCAATGGAATACAGAACGCGTATCTCATCATGTTTGAGACTCAACTGAATGTACCTGCACTCTAGTGTGTCATATTGTTCTCGCCGAGATTCGAACTAAGCACTCAGTGCTTCAAATATTTAAGCATCTTCTAGGCTGCTGGGACACGAAAGCTACCACTTGTTCAGTGGGTATCATTGTTGTTTGACACGGTTGACGAGTCCCGAACAGGATGAAACGTGTTTCCTGGATTCCACTACTAGTCAACAAGATGATTTTATCACGATATCTGGCAGTAACGAGTCGTCTGCACAGAGCCCGTCTGTCAACAAAAGTCGAGCAGTTTGGCTCCGTATAACAACAGGAAACTCTATAAACTCTATAAACATCGATAAATACTATCTATAAATAGGACTGAGACGAAGACTGAAATCAAGGGTTATCGAAGTGGTATTGTCACCTCAAAGCAATAGCCCATTTAGTTCAGAGACTAGTCAGTAAAACTGGACAGTTGCTTGTTCGAACTATGTTTAAGTTCAGGTTTTCTGTTATTAATTTAATCTGTTCGTTTTTAATTTGCGTGCAACAAAATTTCAATCATTACAAAAAAATGGAACAATTATCGAAAATTACTATTATTTCAAGCATAAAACAAATTTGTTGGAAACTGTGAACCACTGAACCCCGACCCAGTGGCTGAATGGTTAACGCGTTCGCCGTGAAACCTTAACGTCCTAGTTTCAATCCCTGACCGGGTCGTGGGTGCGTACAGCTGAGAAGTCCTTCACTAAGACAAAACAGCTGTCCAGTGCTCCCAGGTTCTCAACTGTTCTCTAACTGTTATCAGTTCATGATGAATACTACCACAAAATTAAAATCCTCATTCATCTCAAGATTTGCATCAATTGAGGCGAACAAAAAATCGCTTCGTGTGCATCCGCATAATATAAAAAACTACAAAGGATGGAATTTCAGAGTTTCAGGACTTTCTGAAAACTTACAAAGGAACTAATCAAAATGTAGGTTAATTGAGAACAAATGTGTGTATGTGTGCACATTATGCTTATGTTTGTGAAGTGTTTAGCGAAATCACCTCTGAATTTATACTGATAAGTGGTACACTTGACACTGAGATTACTTATCTACAGTAATTATTGTTATTCATCAGATGGTCGTAAAGAATAATAGTGCAAAGTAGAAAATCAGATGGCAATAGAAATCAAAATTTCTAAGGTGATTCAAAGAGTGAGCCGCTGATCATTTATTTATAAGGAGATATGGAACCGTATAAAGCTAGCTTACTTGAAACTGGATACTGATTGCGTCGTCCTTACTGAACAAAAACTAGTCGCATATTATCATTTTAAACCGATTTGACACCCACTTGAGGGATGTTTTCAATGGAGTTATTAAAGTATCAAATTAGACTACGTCAATCCAGAGACCGACATACTGATTGGCACAATTTTTGATGGTGGTATATTTAACAAACATCTGTTCTGATTCCAGGTATGACCAGTTCACTGAAGTAGTTAGTCAGAATTCGTATCATCTTAATAATTCGACTCTTTGAGCTGAATTAATCCAGGTACATCATTATTGAACTCGATGTCAAATTAGCAAAACGTCGACTAAATGTTTAGATCACTCCGATATGGTTAGCGAGAGCTGCTAATTGGCCTGATAGACTTATTTGAGCCAAATAGCTGAATCTACCAAACTCCATACAATGAATATGGGGTAAAGTGCATAGATCTAAATAGGCGGTCGAGGTCAGTTAAATAAATGGAACATAAGAATTTTGCCAAACAGAGACTGACAGACCCCAATAGGATCAATAATCTAGGAAAATGCTTGGCTATTGCAATGCGTGCATTGATACACAACTACAAAGTAGGGTGGGTTAAAATCATTTTACCGGATTCCAATGTATATGGGGAAAAAGACTGATTACTGAATCTTTGTTCATTGAACCAACAGCCATTAAATGAAACAGGAATGAGGCAATACTTATACCAGAGACACAAAATTTTACTACCAATAAAAACAAAGGATATGAGATGAAAGGACTAGAAAAATCAGATGTCAAATGCAGTCTCATTACACTGATATGAATGAGTAAGAGTTTAAGCCCAAAACGTCATTCAGGGGATAATACTGTATCACTGTGTGCTATATCAAGGAAACAAATCCAATATGGAATTATATTCTATCACAGTGCACAAGTTCTACACTCATATTAGGGAAACAGTCTTAAAATCAGTTTTTGGAGTGTCCAGAGTTACTATACCATATCTTCTGATTTCGGCTAACAACGTTAATCACCATTTCAATAACGAAAATTATTTATTTACTATTATCCACCTTGAAACACTTGAACGAAATTTAGCGGTAAAGAAAAGCTATCGCTGCGTTAGTCCGAATCTAAGCAAGACTGAACCAAACAAGCCAATGAGGAAACTACAAATAGGTGATGATTGAAGGTGAAATGAAAACCTTTACTATGCTTGACTGGAGTCACACAAGCTTCCTAGTCAAGACTTGCCATCCAAATCTAACCAAACCGGAGAGGGGGAGTATTACACTGATTATCATTTTGACTATCTGAGATAGCAGTAGTTTGACAGACTAGTACCGATACTAAGTGATGATTGGACGTGAAGTGAAAACTTGAACCACGGGCCAAAAACCCGGTGATTACTGGTTTGAGTCCCGCCGCCGTTCAGATTTTCACTTCACCTCCAATAATCAACACCCAGTATCAATACTAGTCTGCAAAGCCACGGCTATCTCAAATAGTCAAAGTGATAATCTATAATGTTTAAGATAAATACGTTAAAAAAGATTGTCTCACTCCTGAAAGCATATTTACATTCAACGAAAATAAAAAATGAAAAACATTCCATTAGTAAAGTACAGTCATACTTACCTCTGTCTTCTGATCAAGACCTATGTGAAGGAAGAAAATTGAAGCATGGGAAAAATAATTAGCAAAATGAAAAGCTGAGAAACTTTCATTAATAGAAAATTATTTCATATACAAATCCTACAACCTCTTCAAACTTAATATATGACTTTGAAATGGTATTTAAAAAGCCAAAGTAAGTGTATCCAGTCATCTTGAGTGATAGTAGTTAAACCCTGATTATGGTCGCAAAACCTCTGTGATACACTGGAACCCAGCCACAAAATTTGAACTTGACTATCGTCAACTTCGTCACAAATCCTGTTTACGTACTAGCAAGCTTTAATGAAAACTGTTGAAATGATAGGAAACGATAGTTGACCACTACAACGAGACTTTTGGTGAGCAGGGAGCATAAATTCGGAAGATACAGAATAGGTTGTGTGTATCAACAGGTTAGACGCTAGACAGACAAACGTGTTAAATCTACAAAATAAAAATATAAACAAAAAGTTTGAAAGCAATACTATATTCACTTTCGCCAATACACACATTTTTCATCATGACAGATATACGGACATTTCAATTTCGTAAAACACAGCGACTGTATCTGATATTAGAACTTAACTAGTCTTTGTGAAGAGAAACATCACCTACTAGGAGACAGGTACATCCAACCGACAAGTCCAAAATAGGACGAGAGACGCATCCTGGATTCTACTGTTAGCGACTACACATCAATAATCTATTTTGTCTATAGCTTCATTTTAATATTTCAGTGTATTTGTCACTGGAGTAGTATCTCCATTATTTGATGTTTTGTAGTCTGATTGAGCCATAGAAATAGAGATATGAAAAAATGCATAAATTGTTGTTGTTGTTGTTTGCATTATACCATCATTGAGTAGACCAAATTGATCGGTCTTTATTGGTATGTGGGCTTCTGCACGGGTGCCTCAAAATCGCCTATGTTTGAATAATGGATAGTGGCTAGCAGTGGAACCCAGGCAGCTGATCAATACAGTCCACTCAACGATAACATTCAAATCATACCCGTCACACAAGAAGTGGCTATCATGACTTGATGATCTAGTGGACAACCCTAAGGCGTTTGAACCGATCGGTCCTCCCAGTTCCAGTCCTAGGAGGTGAAAAATTGTTCACTGGGATTCTGGTAAATCCAGCTGACAAGGCCCATGTAGGACGAAACGCTCGTCTTGGATTCCACTGCTAGTCCCTATCCATGATTAATAAGTACATAAATTATCTGATTTTATGGTTTACCTGTCCAGTGAATCATTTCATCAAATGATTACAGTGTATCTAAAATCATTCATTAGCCTCTACTTTTTCTCTTACATTAGAAACATCAACAGTTGGAATGATAAAACATGAGAATGAAGTAATCCATCCTTATAAAGAATTCTCTATCCCTTTTTGGAGACAACAGTTCTTCTAGAAAATTGTCGCGTAGGTAAATCTTGTTAATATGTCTTATTTTATAGCCCAGTTTATGCAAAAACAGATATTTAGCAGATTTAACGACCAGGTAGAATTATTACTCCACAAAATGGCTCTAAATAAACGATAAACTAAACGTTTATAAAATCACTAATGTAACAAAAGATATCCAAGTACACGTAGCCAACTGATTTGGTGCTCAATGATAGTTTTCTTTAGAAAAAACAACACCTCTGCGAATATGTCGATGACTAAAGAGTACTAAGTGATGGGGATTTGAATCTTCAAGGAAAATCGTATTTCCTATGGCAACTGAACATTCAAATGAGAGATAGCAGTGAGACTGGGTTCGGAACTCTATGTTTTTAAAATCTAAGTATGTAAGTGGGAGGCAGTTGCCGTCAATTTATTCTAATCTCTTAGATTAAAGATAAGATTGCAGAACTACTTCTTAGATTTTAGATGTTAATGAAGCCTTAATTGCATACCATTAGTTACTCTCAAATGACTAGTTGACTGACTGAGTGACTGGCGAAACCCATGTAAAGCCTCACATACAGGACAATCGGCTGAAGTTGCTACACTTCATAGTAGTACACAGAAAACAGGTGGATAGGTTAAGTTATATCAAAAAAATCATTTGAAGATAACGGTTAGTGCAAATATTCAAGCTTTAGAAAATGTCAGCGAGTGACTATATCTGCGTCGTTGTGAATACTTTTCAGCCATGTCATCAAGAATCCTCAACCAGTGATTCTTATCATCTCGGGGACCCCTGCCAGGTAGTCTACACCTCCACACATGGTTAAGACCGAGAGTGAGCGACTTCACGGATTGGTGCCACTTCTTGTTCTGGGCAGTGTCAAAACTCTTCCAACGTAATCCAACTCTTCCTGGGATGGCACATCGACGTATGGTACATATCCAAGCCACCTCAGGCGATACAGGTTTACAGCGTCATCAATCAACTTGCCTGTTTTGCCTGTACTCCTTGCCTGACTGACTTCTACATTGCTCACATGATTATTTCACCAAACGCGAACAATACTACGAAGATATCGATGATCTAAGCTCTGTAACCGTTTTATGTCTTCTATGTTTAACTGCCATTTCTCACAGCTGTGTAACAGGATGGAACAGACTGCAGCGCGGCATACTCATCCAGTTACTTATATCTGACCCATTTCAACTGAATTCAAGCTATAACGGAAGCAGTTCATTGTGTAGTTTTCTGAAAGTGATGGGGACTATTTGATATAAATTCATGTTTCAGAAAATACACATCTTAATGTTCAGCATTTGTAGCCAAAAAAGCTAAATAAGGAAATTCTTTCCAATGAATATAAAGTAAGTGGATATTCATCATACTTAGTTCAACTGTTGATTTATTTCTTCTGCAACTAATCACTGATCGGAATCTATGAACGTCTAAAGTCCAGCTTTCGAAATTGATGGGCGTCAATAATATTTAGTTCAAATGCTAGTTCCCGGAGCGTACACTTCTTCTTACCATTCAGAAAAACTCACTTTGGAAGATCCATGAGATTGGAAGGAAGCTAAAATTAGCTAGATCAAGATGCCGAACTAGTCCGTGATGTCTTAAGCTGTTACTTCGAGTAACTGAACGAAGTGTAGGCTATTTGAATGGAATAATCGAGTCGATAAGAACCAGTTGGAGACTCTTAGTGACACACAATATTGATCATGCATGAAATATCACAGAAATTATCATCATTTTTTACCGGTTGCACCATCACCATCTACATTCTACAGTACAAGGATATTCGTTATGCTCTATCGTGCAAAAGAACGATGATTATATTCGGTTGGAGATATGGAAATAAGGTGGAATTAACTCAGTTTTCTATTCAGACAGTTGAGATAAAGATCTTCAAACCGCTGAGACACAACGCTGTATTCGTTCGTTGTAGACAAACTGAGAAGTTCTTTCTGGTACCATTGTAATCCATATTAATGATGAATCGTGGCTAGCAGTGGAATCTAGGATACGCATTTCGTCCTGTTCCGGACTCGTCATCTGGATGTACCTGCTTCCCAGTGAGTGATGTTGTTCCCACCGCGATTCATACTCGGAAGCGATCGCCTAAAACGCCAGGGCGTTGTCCACTATCCCGATGGGACCAACATTACTCGCCGGGAAGCAGGTACATCGAGCTGACGAGTACCAAATAGGACGAAGTTCGCATCCTGGATTCCACTGCCAGCCACAATTCATCAATTAAGTAACTAGAAAGCAGGTAATATCAAGGCATGTGCACAGGAGCCCATATGCCAATAGAGACCGATCAATTCGGTCCAGTCAACAACGGTATGATATAAAAACAATTATGCTATTGTAATCCAGATTGAAAGATGAAAGTATTTAATAACTACCAGGTAGTTTCAGTCTAGGTACTATGCTTGTTGGTACACAGAAGCAAGGCGTATCTGCAGTTTCATGAGGAAAACGGTGTTCTCTCAGTAGCTCAAAACTGTCATTCAGTGCGGAAGTCGTAGTTGATCTCCCTAGAAGGACAATTAAATACGTTGTGTAAAATACTCAGGAACCAAACGGTAATAGTTTCGCAACCAGGATAACGTACAGTAAAAAGCTGGACTACAGTTAGGTTTTGAATCGGTGCATATTTCTGAATAATAATGTTGGCTAGCCTAACATTGATCATATACACTTGGTATGCTGCATCTCACTTGTGATTATGAAAGACCTAACAATCCTTAAAATATACCTGATATGTGATCAATTCGATTCTGATATGCATATTTTCGAATTCAATGGGAAAACTAATGAATGAAGTTTCTTTCGTTTGAGTAAAGAAGAAAGTAATTTCTACGCTCTGTATCTTTTCCTTTTGTTTCGTTTGAAGAAAAACAGGAAAAATAAAATCCTATTCACTGGACACTGGAGAAACTTTAAAAAGAAAACCTTTCTTTTCATATACTCTCTTAAAATATCTTATCGATCCAATATGTAAAACTTCAATGATTTCGATGATAAATTCTCATGAGAAGCCATGATGTTTTACGCCCATTGACTCTATAATAGTAACACAGATATTAGCCAACAGAATCGGATCCTGATCATAACACACCGCAGAATAACTGCCGTTCGATGATGCTGGATAGTCCCGTCCAACCTGACAACTAGAATCGTATTGGTCAGCTCCGAATTCTATTATATACGAGGTAAAATGTCAGCAATGTCGACGTGATACAAAGACAATAAACGCTCCAGTAAGTGTTATTTCTCCCTGAAGGTCATCGTCTTTTCGTATTCCGATCGTTTCATTTTGAGAAACTTTGATTTCAATTCTTTGTGAAAGTATACTTAACATCAAATCGAGATATGCATGTGTGAAAACCAATAAGACTACTCGTAAAGTCCTGTAAAGCTATTGAACAGTGTACATTAGTGATTAAATATTGTAGTCTTTCCATTGAAATATTCATTTGCAAAATGTGTGTCATTTCCTCTTCCTTTTCTATCTCGTCTTGCTCTTGATACGTCCAATTTGTTTCTCGCATTTCTCTGCGCAGAATATCTACCCATCGCTAGTAATTGCCTATAACTTCTTCCGACCTCTCAATATACATTTACTACTTATATCAATTCTTATCAGTAGCACCCACTAAACATGTATTTCACTAAAATTTTCATAGCTTCAGCTTTAAAAATATCAACATGCTGTAATATATATATATATATATATATATATATATATATATATATATATATATATATATAAGTGTATCAGTAACATATTTAGATTGAAATTAGCATCATTGTTCTGTTTATGTGGAAAATGGGCGTTATTTGATAAAACAGTTACTTAGAGACCTAAGTGAAGCTGACCTTCGTGAAAAGCCTACCTCACCGTTTACTAAACGGTGAAGTGGACGTTTGAGAACAACACCACACAGACAATTACAGATATAAAATGAAGGTATAGTGAAGTCAAATTAAGTTCAAATACAATTGAAATAAAAAATTACCCGGCAAGGAAAGCGCATGCAAAGAGAGTAATGACAAAAACAAGGCCGTGTACCGTAACTGATTATTGTTCATATAGAAACTAGACAAGGTTTGAAAAGTTGTGGCCATATAATGAGTTGTCTAGTCCTTGTTTTATGGTCACAGAAGAATGAGAGTCTGCTCTTCTTTCACTACATAAAAACCCTAAATACGGACAAATTACTTGACTGTCCTAACTTCACATACATTAAACTAATTAGTAAGGCATTGGCAGATGGGTTTTAGCGGGAGTAACCATGAGTCCCCCGGTAGCGTAGATCCACCCCAGAGCATCAAGGTGAAGAAACTCTTCATGACCCAGTTGAGTGGTACTGGGTTCGTTTCGCTGGCTTGTGAAAACCAAAGACATTTTGTGTTGCGGGTCGGGACTAGTGAGCCCCCTCCCGTCCCTCTGAATATTAACCAATGGACTGTCAAGTTAACTTGACAAAAACTGCAGTCAATGAAACCCATGTATTCAAGATCAGTGGCACGAGTCTCCAGAGCACAGGTAAGTTTTGCCAGCCGTCAGGATTCTTCTGCCCGATGTTCTGGGAGCAGGGCAACCGAAAGGTTAGGTGAATTCAGCTTCTTAATTCTAATAGTCACTGTTGCTGAAGCAATCCCGAGAAACGGGTGCAGTTCCACCTTGCTAAAGTGAGTAATATTTGGTGTGGAATGCTAGTGTCTTCAGCACTAGCCTTCGCTGTATTTCAGAAGCCCACTGTTAACCTGTCGGCACTAGGCGTTCACAGGCCAGTCCCCGGCTCTAGAGGTAGGCTTTTCACGAAGGTCAGCTTCACTCAGGTCTCTTAGTCTATGGCGGTCTCAGTGAGACGCATCACACCCACGTATGTCCACGGGCAGGTGAATACTACTAACCAACCAATTACACAACGGATGTGGGTACGTTAAAATCTGAGACTTGAGAAGGTCCTAGGATAACACCTATCAGTTTGAGACGGGTACTAACAGAATTCTCTGGCAAGAGTGCTCGTCTTCATGTGTATGTGTTGTCTGAGTGCTTCCTGCCGGGCGACAAGACCGATACACCAGGTTCCTGCCGAACTATCTATAGATCTGAAGACCAATTTGGAACTTGAAGATGAGCCAAAAATTGGATTGAAACTTCAATTAACCGTTTAGAAAGGAATTCATTGACGCGTTTAAAGTGTGTCCATATTGTCTTTCACGGGCATCTGACTTCAAAAGAGTAGCTGAACTTATATATCTACGTGGAGTCGGACCTTTGAGTACTACCAGTAGAAAGAGAAATACGTAAAGGATAACATTTTGTTTCAAACAATGGATGGTAGGTTTGAATCCTGACGATAGCACCAAAATAGATACTGAGACGTTCAGAGAATAATTCTTTAATAAAATGGAGTGAACACATTCCACTCTATTAATTAGTCACTAGCTGACCTGTCAACGTATGCTTACTATCAGTTAAAACAGCTCTTATATCCACTTTTAGAAATAGGTTAGTTCGACAACCATACTTCTAAGAAGAAGAAGAAGGGTCTACACTAAATTAGGAAATTAAGGCTCACTATAAGTGCAAAGGCATGAATAACCAATGGAGGTCGATACCCGTACTGAGAATCAAATCCAGCACCAACCTTGATCAGAAACGTATCCTTGTATTATAGGTAACTCAGCGTTACAAAACAAGGCAAAACCTAACAAGTCATACCAAATTGGCTGGAGAACATTCTTTCGCTATCGTTTGACAAATCTGCCCCTAAGCTGAACATCTTAACTAAAGATTTTAGAAGGTAATGTTATTCATGGTTCAACCTGACAAGCATAAATAGGGGCAGGCTATACTATAAAAAATTTAAAATTCGTATGGTACAACTATACTCATCGTTGGTTCAGAAGAACAATTTAATAAGATACTAAGTAGTGCTAAGGAAAGTACTTCGAAGGCTAAGAGCATATTGACTAGTGGTTAATATTTTCATGAGTTGCAAAACTTAAGGTCTAAACAGCGTAACATCAACCTGCAGCTTTAATCTAGTAAAGTTTACAGATCACATTCACTGTAAAGTTATACTTCGCTTCTTTCTCTTCATTCCCTCTTGCTATTCATTGAATATATACTTGATCAGATGTCGACAATTCCGTGTAAACCTACTCATCTAGTTCAACAACAATAGCGAAAATTGTCAGCATGTGAAATGAAGTTGCTTTGATGCTGCCTACAACTAATTCCTATTAGTTAATAGCAAAAGAAAACGTAAAAATGTCAAGCTCAAATCCATGATCACAAACCTTTAGTGGAATAGTTCACTTGATTACGAGTAGATGTGCTTGAACGGTTGATAGGACTACTTAATGATGAACGCAACAACTTGGAAGAGTGAATATCATTATTGACATTTGAATCTTTCACTGAGGCGGCATTGATATACGTAGCAGTTGTATTGACACACTGATCTGTGGGCATATACCGACTACGTCTGGTAGTGACTGTAGTCGTTGGAGCATTACCAGTGGAAGCAGCGAAAGTAGTAGTAATAGGTACACGGTTATGACTGAAACGATCATTATCTTGAAAATCGTCGATTTTGTTTACATTCGAGGTGGAATGCATTTTGATATTACTTATCGGATTATTCAATGGTGATGCTGACATTGTCATTGGTACTGTCGCTGATGCTACTGATGTTGTCACTGATGTTAAACTAGTATTAAGTAGAGGGTTACTATTGTTCATATTATTACTGCTTGATTGTAATCGTTGCATTCTACGTGTACTCCAATAACCAGTCGTTTCGTTTTTATCAAAAGCTTGATTATTATGTACAACGTCTACTGAGTCCGTTTCAGTATAATCCATATAATTTCCATTCATAGGAGATTTCTGAAATTTTTTTGAAGAAAATTTTGTGTCATTGGAGGCGATAGTATGATGACTATGACTAGTCGAAATCTGCAAGTCGGGAAGACAAAAAAATGAAAGAAAAATAGGGAACAATAAATTGTTGGCATAAAAACTCTCAAGTTTAATAGACGCAGAAAAGTTGAAATGTCAGAAAGTTTTGAAATGATGACAGCAATAAACGAAAATGGTTACAACCACTAATTATGATAGTGATGATGGATACTAGGTAGCAATGGAACCCAGGATGCATGTTCTGTCCTGTTTGGGATACGTCATCCGGATTCGCCCGCCTCAGAAAGAGCGATACTGTTCCCACTGGGTCTGGAACCCGGGTTCGATCCCTCCAGAGGCCAAAACGTTATACACTAGGCCACCGAGGGATGAGAGGCACCCCTTATTCAACGGGTATCAGTTGTTGTTTGGTGCACAATTTTACTTTTAACTTGCAAAATGGCGCATTAAAAACGCTTGGAAAGTGTGTGAAACTAAATAGTACTAATTTCAATCATATTTTAATGATTAAAATAAGGTGAAGTGGAGCACTCTGAGAGAATATACATTCGGTGGAAAATTTTGGATAGTTCAAAGGTCATCGAATTTATCAAAAGCATATTATTCAATATTTAGTATATGGAACCACTTTTTAACAAGCAAAGTCTAACAAAAAGAACTACTGAAGAAACACTGTTACATTAGCAACAAAATTTAGTACTTTTTTGAAACCAGTGGATATGATTCGGTCATAGAATAAATAGAGCATATACGACAGGTAAATTTACGTGGTGTTATAAAGTTCTGATTATATGTATATTCAGAAGTCAGTAGGTTTTCGTCAGGCATGATTGTATTTAAAAAAGCACAATATTAGTTTTTCGGAGACATTCGGCAGGTAAACCTGTTTTAAGAAAGGTTTTGGGCTTGCCAATACTCACCAGCAACCTCAGTTAAAATCCGTAGTGACTCTAAGTCTCGTATGATGATGAAAACATAGCGAAATGATCAGTAGAACTCAGTTAGTACTCAGAAGCCAACAATATGACATAACATGCTATCCAGCGACCAATCAAAGCACCTAATCTAGTCCAGCACGACCTCAATCATGGCGTGAACAGTTCAGCAGTAACTCCGCTGACTGTAGTACTGGATGATCCAGGTTCGCGTCTCATAAGTGGCATCAGTTCCTTCGAGGTTGCTGATGAGTGCAAACAAGCACAAAATCTAGGTCAAACACGGCTTCCCGTCAACTGGCCGTTTATTCGCACGAAAAAAATCGTTAGTAGTGAGCGTCGTCAGTTACTTTTAGCAAAAAGACTCAAAAATTAAGCTTTTTCTAGTCACAGAATAAAGCTCAGTCAATAGATAATCGTCGTTCAACAACTTCCAATTCAAAGTTTGTCTATTCCCAAAATAAACCAATATTTAAAGCATTCATCCTGGATGAAATCACTAATAGACACTGGACTTTTAGTTAGCCTCCAAAAGCTCCCTTATCTTCAATGATTTACATAAAGTTGATCAAAAAAGGCGATTAATAAATCAATAAACACTCAAAAAGCACACTGCATGAATACTGCAGATACATTGAGAAGTTGGAAAGATGAAGTAAGAGAATAGATGTTAGCTGGATGGAAATAATCAGCAGGAAACACTGGATCTAGGTTTCGTGCATTTTAGGACTCTTCAGCGGGGCGTATCTGCAACAGTGGCGAAACTGATGTCCTTCCTGATATTCAAACCTGCGTCGCCCAGTGTTGTAGTCAGTGACGTCACCACTGAGCTATTCAGGCCTCAAACAAACTACTGTAGGACTGGATCAGGTACGTCGACTAGTCATTGGACGAGTGCCAACATGCACGAAACCTAGGTTAAGGGCTTCCTGCCAGTTGCTCCATCTAACTAGCGTCTATCAAAAAGCTTCGCGATGCTGAGCCACCTAGTCTGGTGGCCAGATTACAAAATTATCGATAGAATTCGGTCACCACTTAGGATTGGACAACATGAAGTTGGTTATCCTTCAGTAACCAATCAATGAAGTAAGCGAATGAAACAGATGATAAGATATTGTAACTATGATTCATAATTAGTGTACTAATGACTTTAGGAGAACAGATTTTCGGGTAAATGTCAACAATTCAGTGAAATTATCATTCTGGATCGCAGTCATGTAGAGAATTGTTGGAAGCCATGCGGCAGAGTAGAGCTGTTTTGTTTGACTTCGAGAGTCAGTATACCAAATCGTGTCTAGAAGAGCTTTCAGGTTTCACATGATGAGAACGTTTCCACTCAACCACTAGGTTTTTCTGATCAACGACTCATGTTTCCAACCTCTTACAGTTCTGAATATCACGTGATCGTCATTCAACTTCAACTAATGATAAAGCCTTCATTAAGAATAATCCATCCATCATAATCTTCCAAAGTAAGAAGCCAATTCAATTGAAAAAAAAACTAGGATAGGTATAAAACACACCTGTAACCATCATTTGTAGCCATCGAAAAGCTTGATCTTTATACATCAAATGACTTTTCAGGTATCAAGTTAATTGTATGTCTTTAAGTGATATTAATCATACTGTAACATGTTATTTAGACCCATGAAGTAACATGAATTAGCAAATGCATTAAACATAGAAACACCTGGTAAAATCTTATCTAGTATAGAAAAAAGTTCACTAGTTAAGTATACTTCGGTTGAACCACACCCTAAATACATTTCAGTTAGTGACTACAATATATACATTGAAAGCATATAAGATGTAAGACGAATTAGATGTAAATTAAACTGAACTGTACAACCTGTACAGTCAAAAGTTGGATAGATCGTTCGATGAGAGTTGTTCAAGTGGGATATCAATAAGCATGAAACCTAGGACTAAAGCTTTCTACTGATGGCATCCAATCAACTAACAACACATGAATATTATTCTCTTCGATTCAATCAAAGAAACAAAGACAGGAATCAAACTAATGGGTGTTTATATACAAGTATCTGAACAGTTAGCACAGAATCATTTCATGGTACACTAAACAGAATTATTCTTAAATCATTTTAACCGGTGTTAACACTGCAAAAAGTTTACATTTCCGGATCCTATTGATCTATGTCAATTAGCAGTAAACACTTTGGTCAGAAACTGTGATCCACTCTCCAACATCTAAAGCTAACTAATTTTTCTGATGATATTGTGTTCTCCGAGCTGAATGGCTTAATCGTAAAGCTTTCATTGTTATCCTAGACAACATTGTCAGCACAAACTTCAGAAAGAAGTGAGCTATAGGATTTCTTCTACTGGTGGCCTAGTAGCTTATCATGATGACCTTGTGGGTTATTGTCTGTTTTTGTCAAGGTGTTGTCATTGTCGCCATATTTATTTCAATTGGTTGTCCTGCTAACGTGAACTTTGACTTTCTGCTTGTTTCGTAGATTGGATCAATGTCAATGTGTCTATTGGTCGTTAACCGATCTAAATGCCACGCTTCTAGAAATTCTGTGGCATTCTTTGTATTTCCTCTTTCAATGATTTCCAGATTTACCCAGTCAAATTCATATCCAAAGCTGTTCGTATGCATTGATGTGGGCGAAGATATGTTATAACGTTTCACTGATGCCAGTTGATGTTTATGTAGACGCATATGACGAGGGTAACCAGTATTTCCGATGCAGCTTTTCTCTCAGTTTCTGCAGTTTGTTTTGTGGATTTTGTAGAAGTTTTAGAAACTCGGTATTCAGGTCAGTAAGCGATCAACAAATACATTGACATTGACCCAATGTATCAACCAATAGGAAACTCGGGAAAAAGCAAGAAGGTAAAAGTTCAAATCAATGGGACAACCAGATCGAATACGTAAGCAGACAACGAAAAGACCTTGGAAGAAACAGCAACCACATGCAATGCCATCAGGATAAGCCACTAAACCACTTATGGAGAAAAAGCCTATAGCTCACTTCTTTCTGAAGTTTATACTGATGACGTTGTCTAGAATGACAATGAAAGCTTCATGATTGAATCATTCAACTCAGAGAACAAAATACCATCAAAATTATCCTCCTGGGGTAAAAATATTGTTCATCACTAGCTAAATGTGTAATACAAGGATAGTAAAACGAAGGAATAAAATAATAAAAGTATAGATCTTAAAGAGGGAGGTAATAAATATACCGCCACTTATATTCTGGCGCATATAAACAATCAAGGGTAACATTGAATCGTCAATTATTTCAGCAATGAAATAAGAGAATAGAATAAACAGAAAATGAAAGGAACTGGTTGATCTTGAGTAGAGTACAGTCTCTCGCTTCTTCCCAACCTGATATCACTCAAAGAACCCTGCGAAGTGACAAGCAACTGGATAACGGTTTCTCGCTCCATTTATGATATTCCCCGAAGGTATACGCCACCGATTCTTTCCAAGTTTTCAAAGCAGTAGTGTGACATCATCATATCGATGTACCCTTCCAACTAATAGAAAAATATAAAGTTCAAAACACGTGAAACTATTCTATGAAAGTAAAGAACCAATTATAGCAACGAACAAATTGACACGCAGCTTCAAAAACCTCGGAGTTATCTAACCCGGAAAAGGAAGTCTAATGAACCTTTCCTGAAGTAAAAGACAAAAAAACTGGGCCTGTCACTATCCCGACTAATTTCGATACACCCTTTAAATGGCTTCGTTAGGACCGGCTGCGATAACCAGAGTTTAAAATTACAATACATTAGTCAAAATTGACAAAGCAAGGATTTATCAGTTGGATAGAATAATTTCATAAACTACTCATCAGGATATCACTATCTTTGCCACCTCTTAACTCACACTTGATATGATGCCTAACATGTTAATGTAAGCTATAGTTAGGACAATGCATAGTCGGAGAACATTTTTAAAACTCCAGTTTCAATTCTTCATAGGTAAGGCATAATATGTTTTACAAATCAACTGAATCATAAAAACTCTTAGCACGAACGATACATCCAACGGTTACATAATTTCGAATATATCTGTGAAATAAAAAGAAAAGTCTAAGGTATTCAAGCGTAATAAATATACTACTGAAGTGAGATGAGTAGTTGTAGACCACTGACACCGCTAGCCAGATAAAGGTGATGCAAACACCAACCGGTCATTTCACTCTATCGACACTCAGCTCATTTGGTGTCTAGATAACGTGGATCTGGATAGCGCGCACTAGTGATCGGTGTCAATGGTCTGCCACCGCTCACGTCAATCTGTAGCGCATTCCATAAAACGTTAATGCTCACAATCTTGATGCCACTTGTGGTGTCGAGCAGATCAAGTTATGTGGTCCCAATATGTTGACTTCCATAAGAAACCATGATGAGATGTCTTATATTACATTGTTATTTAGAGAAAACAGGTTTGTGCAACATTAATAAATGAGTAATGAGAACCTGACTAGCGTTTACCAATCAACTATCTATGCTTAAAGCCATCTATCATTCGGTTCTGTTAACAATGACCAATCATTGCAAATAAGTGGTTAATCACAAATTTCGAGGTGGGATACATCAAGGACTTGGATTAGTTGGAGAACCCCTGAAAACCTTGGAGAAATGGATAGCTGTTTTGTCCTACTACGAGACTCCTCAGCCGTACATATCTACCCCCCAACCAGGATCGAGACAGGTGTTCTCTGCCCCAAGGTGTTCAATGGTTCTCTAATAAAGAGACTCCCTATAAAGCTCGAGCAAATAACGAATCACCTGACTACAAGCTCAGCAGGTGAAAAAAAATTAAAATTAGCATTGCAGCATAACTTTATAACACGTAAACCATAAGAAGATGGATAGTTGATTCGAAAATCAATGATTTTACTATGGTTTTCTCTTGTCATTAACTGGACGACAGTTTTTCTTAGCTGTAAATCAATAAGTTAATATTTTAGGTTTGTATTCATCTTGCACTGGACAGTTGTTTCCTCCTAGTATGGGACTCCTCAGCATAGGATGAAACAGCTATCCAGTGTTACCAGATTTCCGTCAATGGTTCTTCAACAGATGTCAGTCTATGATGGATAAAAATTTAAAATCAGTCAATAAATACTCACAAACCTTGAAATTGAAGTTTAGATTTTTTTGATGTTATAAAAAGAAAGTTTTCAGATTGTTAGGCTGGTATTTCTAGTGAATTTTACGTTTATTCCTGCTTATGGTTAATGAATCACGCCTAAAGTTAATTAGTCAATGTTCATATTTAACACTTTTCCCATTTAGGAGAAAATTATATAAACAAACAAATGGAGTAGCAATGAGTTCTTCGGTATCCCCTATCGTTGCAAACCTCTTCATGCCTCATATTGGTCAGCTGGTGAACTGTCACTTTTAAACCGTTTAGTTAAAAAGAATGAAAATATAAGTCTAAATTGTCGATTTATCGTTCAGATGCATAGGTTGATCTCAAATGGGCGTATTTTTTCAGTGCTAAACTTCCACTTGCTCGGGACTTATTTAAGAGGGCGACAAAACTCATTACGAATGAAAATGACAGACAAATGGAAGTAATAAACATAATAGATGTGCAACATTCCAATACGTAGGCTGTGAATACCATCCAAAAGATCAAAAACCATGAGCAGAAGAATCCAAGAGGAAAATCAAACGACGAGGCCTAGATCGACACAATAGTTCTGTCATTCCGGAAAGATACAACTCCAGAACTACAAAAAAGTCAAGAAAACACCGAATTGAAGACTTGTACGACACAACCAACACTCAAGAATGCTTTAGTCGACTAATAAGGTAAAACTTCCTTTACCTTTACACAGAATCGTGTCTACAACTTAGGCTGTGTCGATTTTGATGCTTATTGTATTAAGGAAGCATCCCGCAGGATCTCCGTTTCTTTTTAAAGAATACTCAAGTTACACAGAATGACTACCAAATAATCCTGTAGAAATAGGGAATTCGCAACTCAAGTCAACAATCGTTGTTTATGCCATCTATCACAGGCACAAAATTGATATTGAAACTATTAGAAGTATTCAGAAAGCATTTTCAGACTGCAGGGAAAGAAAGATGGATGGCTAAGACATTTCGGATTATCATGAACCCAAATACACTCAGCAGAAAGGAGGAAGGCCTGACTATTCAATCAACTTGAACAGTTCATCAGAAATAGCATGTTGTACGCACTAGTCATAATTAAAGTACATACGCGTACAAATAAATGAAATTCTCCATCCATAGTATCGTTCTCACAATTTCACACTCATTCATATATGCACACACACTCAAGTCTTCACCTGGAGCTTATGGACTAATAGCTGATAACGATAACACTGATCCCTCATATGATTATCATGTATGAACAATGTGATTTGTCGCCATTTACTGTTTAATTATGCAATAACTTGTTGTACAGGTTTTATTCTCTAAAGAGCTAAGTTCTAAAAGGTCGCGTAACGTCTGAAATTTATTTTCCTACCTCAAAATATTTGTCATCAAACCAAGCCATGTTAAGGTCAGAGACATTTTCTTAATGTAGTGAAATTTAGGGAATGTAAGGAAATCAATTTATCTTTTTTTCAATTTATTAATATTGGAATGATACATATACAGATGAATGATATGACAGTGAATAAAACGAATAAAAAGGCAGGACTGGCCTTTAGTTTACTGAAGGCCAAAGAAGAAGCAACTCTTGGACATATTCCTTCTGAATGCAGAATTCCGGTTTGATCAATCTTATTGCAACAGCCTGCGCTATATTGAGCAGGTGTTGGCGAGCTATGTGTGATATCGTTTTTAGAATACAATGAATGATACTGAAAGCTTTATTAACATCTATGTGATGCTCTGTATCTACTAGGTGTGTTACGACTAAACTTCTCACCGTTTCCCAATCAAGCTAGTGAATTCTCTCGCATCCGCAGACGCGCCCGTCTAATCGCATACCCTGTGTCCAACTGATAGATGCAAGATTAAGCGTTGAGATTAGGTAAACTATCCTTCAGCCTCAGGCTGAGCATTAGCCGACTACTGAGTGATGCGCAAAGCCGACTTTTATATAACGTTCTACTGACTACTCTAGTTAGGCGTTGTGCTAGAGCGTCCTTGCAGCATCCTCCTTGAGTTGTAAGCGCAGAAACAAAGACTTCTCCAATGTCACCAGTTCTTTTTTAGGACCGATTTAGTTGGTGAAGTTATGCGAATATCCGTTTTCACTCAGAATATCATGGATACACAGTAATTATTTTTCCATACACTCCGTGGAAAAAATCGAAGTTACTGTAAATGCCAGACACCTGATTATACTACGTTTGTATTTCATTGATAGGAAGCTGAGAAAGCCCTTATACTATTCCTCAAACATTAGTTTTTTATATAAACTTCTCAGTATAGAGCCATCTTTTCCTATCATTAGCCCATCAAGAAAATGTATCGAGTCATTGATTTCATTTTCGTATGTAAATTGAACTGATATGTAAGCGTTGCTGAAATGGTTCAGAATAGAATTAATACATGTGGACCTATCAAAAACCAAAACAGTATCACCCATGTATCGACAGTAAAACTCCATATTGGTAATTCGATGTTTCAAAAGACCCTTTTTCAATTTAGCGTCGACAGTATGCCCCTCTAGAAATTCCATATTAACCAGAAAATGAACGAAAAACGATTACTTTTGATGTGAAAAGCCCTAACAATAACATTCCAACCAATCAGGATGACTCTAAAATCTAACAGAAAGAATCTGCACAACGACTGATAAGCGTAAGATAACCAGTTATGTATACCTCAACAGTTTTTAAGTTTCCAAATAAAGTATGCAGACAATAAAAAAATTAGCAGTATGACCATTAATATCCTTAGATGTAGTAGATATTTTTATGGACTATTGGGAATGTATGGCTCTGAGAACATTGAAACCTACGCCGAAATGTATGAAGGATCAAGTCAAGAGTAGAACCAGTAGCTCGAAAAATTTAAATGACAAAGTGAAATACGTAAGAGAAACTTCACTTCGCAATAACCTTCCTCCTCAATTTACTCAAAAATTAATTATGAGTCCTTAAAAAAGAGAGACTGAAACACTGCTACTACTATAGGGTCCCTATATTAGGAAGAGATTTCGGAAATTCTATGTAGGTCTCTCAACAAAGCTGGGGTATGGCATCCAAATCTGGAAATTCTCCAAGTTGTTCACTCTACTGAATACTATGCAATGACTGTGAGGTCAACAACGAAGGTTAAACCAGCGGTTCTGAGTAATCAGGTTAGCGGAAAAATTGGATGAAAGACCCTACGAAGATGAGCATTGTACACTAGAATTCAGTCGTTAATAAATCCGTCATCATATAATAGACTTGAATGGAGTAACAGTCCTAAAGACCAATTGAGTTAAGTTGAAAGAAAAGTTCACCACTTTTTCTTTGTTGATTGATGAAGTGTCCACCAAAACGTGCAATAGGACTGACTAAATACTACCCAGAAAATCAAAGAATCAAAAGTATAAGAAGCAGAAAGGTTAAGCTAGAAAGTTTTCTAATTATACCTTGATACGACTATCAACAATCAGTTGTGCTCAAAACGTCATCCAGTTAATGATAATAATACACTACCACTACACACCACGTCGAATGAACTAAGCTACTCTGGAATAACACATCCACCTAATATAAACTGAATGAAAGCGCTAAAATGCAGTTATATCATCTTTACATATATAAAGCAGAAGAACACAGTCAACTTATATGATATTCATCATTTCCATGCTTTGTCATTTCATTTCTACATTCTTTCTCTAGCACAGAATAATAGTAATATGAATTTCTAAACAAAACCTAAGCGTCATCATCATCATTACCACAAAGATAGATTTGTTTTATCTTCATTAACCGGAGGACAGAAATGTATAATTTAGTGGGAGCGGCTGCTTTTTGTAGGAGAACGCAACCTTTCTACGTTGAATCGAATAATTTGATGAATTCAGAAAGAATTTTTTTCAAAAAACAATACATAAAATCTGTAGTATTAGTATCTCCCTTCAAATTTACCATGTCTTGGTGTTGTTGTTGACGTCGTTGACTTGTTCGTGTAGCTCCAACATTATTACCACTCACTGGACTGGCTGGTTTATGAGGTTTTGACCGACTGGATTTATCCAAAACGTTAAAGGATGTATTACTGGAGTTTCGTTGAGAGGAGGTCTGAATACGAAAAACAAATAAAATAACAAGAAAAGTGAGGAATAAAGAGTTTAGAGGAGGAGAAAGCTCCCAAGGATGCCATACAACCTATAAACAATGTAGTCTCAGTGGTGCTGTACTCATTGAGTTCGAACAATAGTCAATCGTCTGCATATATGTTTATAGACAAAATTTATTTCGGCATACCAAACTAGCATAATTTGATTGGCGAACTAAAACGATTCCTGTGCAGCCAAATAAAAGAAATCTTGGTTCATGACCAGTAGTAAATGTCCTAATCACAGTTAATTTCAAGGTCGAGACGCAGCCTACTGGACACAAGATCAAATCAAGAAGAGGAGCAGATGTAGGTTCAGACCACTCACCATCTAGTGCAAGGAACCTTCCAAATCAAGTTAAAAGCCTTCAAGGAAGCTGGTGATAGACCGCAGTTCAAGTACAACACTCGGAAACTGAAGGATGAAACTACAAAGAAAATCTTCACGGCAGCCATCAAGACAAAATGGGAGATACCGAGGAACATCCCTGAAGAAACCTGTGTGGAAGAACACTGGAAGTCTTTGAAAGCTATGTGGAAAGAAACCTGCACAACAGTATTAGGAAGGAAGAAGAAAGAAGAGAAGGAATGGATCTCCTGGAAGCTGATAGAGGAGAGGAGGATGGTGAAGCAGGAGATAAACCAGTGCAACGATGCTCAACGACAAGAGGAACTGAGCACAATGTATAAAACACCGCACTGGACAAAGAAGTGAAGAAGAGTGCACGCAAAGACAAAAGACACTTCTATGAAACACTGGCAAGTGAAGCAGAATAGGCTGCAGGTAAGAGAGACCTGACGACATTGTATCATTTGATATTATCTATCTGGGAAGAGATCAACACAGACGAAACCAATGAAAGATGATGACGGAAATTTAATTACGAAAGAAGAGAAACAAAGGAAACAATGGGCCGACCACTTCAAGAAGCTCTTGAATCGACCACCACCTGCACTTCATCCAGAAATACCACCTGCAGCCGCCGAACTACAAGTGAACATAAATCCTCCAACAAAAATGGAAGTCCTGAACGCCATAAAGCTACTGAAATGCAGGAAAGCAGCAGGTTCAGATGGGGTCCCGCCAGAAGCACTGAGAGCAGACGCAGAGACAACAGCGGACATGCTCACATCACTATTGCAGAAGGTGTGGAAGGAAGAGAAGCTACCTGGCGATTGGAAGAAGGGTTACTTCGTCAAACTCCCGAAGAAGGGAGACCTCAGTGTTTGCAAGAACTGGCGAATAATCACTCTCCTGTCCACCCAGAGCAAGCAAAATATTAAGCCGCATCATCCTGGAGAGGCTAAAGGATGCACTGGATTCAAAACTACGACCAGAACAGGCAGGCTTCAGGAGGTACAAATCATGTGCGGACCAAATTGCAACGCTACACTATGCATCATCATAGAACAGAGTATAGAATGGCAATTAACTCTCTACCTCAACTTTATCGACTTTGAGAAGGCCTTTGACAGCGTCGACCGAGAAGTAATTTGGAAACCGCTTCATTACTACGGAGTACCGCAAACCTTTATCAGCCTCATTCAACAACCATATGAAGATGCCACATGCCAAGTAATTCACAATGGGAAGCTCAGTGATACTTTTGAAGTGAAGACAGGAGGGAAACCAGGTTGCCTACTATCCCCCATGATATTCCTGATTGTGGTCTACTGGATCATGCAACAAACAGTGAGGAGCGAGAAGAGAGGGATACGCTGGCTGGACTGCGGAAAAGAACCTAGAAGACTAGGATTTCGCCGATGACTTGTGCCTGATGTCACATAAACTTGAAGATCTGCAGGCAAAAACTAACAAGTTGGCAGAAGAGGCGAGGCAGCAAAGACGGGACTTCAAGTGAATATAGAGAAGACAGAGGTGATGAAGATACCGCACCAACAACTCCAACAACAACAACAAACTCCAATCACCGCCAACGGGAGAAACTTAAAGGAAGTAACCTCCTTCACCTATCTAGGAAGCACTGTTTCAACTACAGGCGGGACGGACGAGGACGTCAAAGTCAGAATCGGAAAAGCAAGACAGGTGTTCATTAGCCTGAAACCAGTGTGGAGATCTTCTGCACTGCACTCAACATATGGAACAAGATCCGGATTTTCAACACCAATCCAGTCAAGTCAGTGCTTCTGTATGGTTCAGAGACTTGGCGCATTACGAAAGGGATTTCCAACAAACTACAGACACTCATCAACAACTGCTTACGCTCGCTACTGAAAATCAGATGGCTGGAATAACAAGAATAAGCAACAAGGAACTCTGGGAACGAACCAACCAAGAGACCTATCACCCAACAAATATGCAGGAGGAAGTGCAGATGGATTGGGCATGCACTGAGAAGGCCGACTGTGGACATCACGCGTCAGGCCCTCGAGTGGAATCCCCACGGGAAGCGACGAGTTGGACGTCCGAGGGTGACATGGAGAGGAGATCGTGCGAGGAGGAAATGAGAGATTGTGGGCTGTCGTGGAGCCAGGTTCAAATGATTTCGGAGAACAGAGTTCACTGGAGACGTGCTACTGAAGCTGTTTGTTCCATTAGGAACCCAAGGGACTAATAATAATAAATAATAAAACCTATATCAATAACTCCCAACTACCTACCCAACATCTCTATCCACTTTTCTGTGGAAAGTATTTAAGTATGGCAGATCTATTTATGTTGATTGTATTGTGTTCTCTGAGCTGCGTTGTTTAATCGTGGAGCTTTCATCGTCCTTCTAGATGACACCGTCAGCACTAACTTCAGTATGAAGTGCTCCACACTGCATTGAATATCATTACTATGGCTTATCACAGTGCTGCATCAATTTGTTTCTACATCACATCGTAAACATAAACCATTGATTTTAGTCACCATTCAGCTCACCAAACTACCTCATCCTTTGCCATCTGAGAATCAGTCTACGTAACACTATTATTATTTCTACTATTCTCCCCTTGGGTTCCTAGTGGAACATAGGGTTTCAGTAGCACATAGCCATTCCACTCTCATCTCTGAAGACTTTTGAACCTGGCTCTATGATTGCCCAGAAGCCTTCACTTCTTCCTCACACAATTTCCCCCATGGCAACCACGGACGCCCAACTCATTGTTTCCCATTTGGGTTCGACCTGGAGGCCTGTCCTGGAGCGTGATCTCCCGGAATGATCTCAGCGTATGTCCAGTCTAACAAAATCCATCTCCACTTTCTTCTGCATATTTATTGGGTTGTAGGCTCTTGGTTGATTTTGTTGCCAAGCCACAGTTCCTTGTTGGTTATTCTTATTATTCTGGCCATATGATCTTCAGTATCGAGCGTAGGCAGCTGTTGATAAATGTCTGTAGTTTGTTGGAAATGCTTTTCGTAACGCGCCAAGTTTCTGAACCATATAGAAGCACTGACTTGACTGACATTAGTGTTGAAAATCCGGATCTTGCTCGCGCTTTGTGCTGAGTGCAGTAGATCTCCATACTGATTTCAGATTAGTGAAAGCCTGTCTTGCTTTTCCGATCCTGGTTTTCAAATCCTCATCTGTGTCGCCTATAGTTGAGACGATGCTGTCTAGGTAAGTGAAAGAGACTACTTCCTTTAGGTTCCTTCCGTTAATGGTGATTGTTGTTGATGCTGTTGTTGGTTGAGTATCTTCATCACCTATGTCTTCTCTACATTCACTTGAAGTCCCGTCTTTCTTCACTGCCTCTCCTGTCAACTTGTTAGTTTTCGCCTGTAGATCTTCAAGTTTGCGCGACATAAGTTATGAGACATAAATCATCATGGGCGAAATCCAAATCTTCTGGGGTCTTTTCATCGGTCCAGCGTATGGTCATCTTCTCGCTCCTCACGGTTTGTTGCATGATCCAGTCCAGTCGACCACAATCAGGAAGATCATCGGTGATAGTAGGCAACTTTGTCTTGTCTTACTTCGGTCTTTACTTCGAAGGCGTCACTGAGTTTTCCATTGTTAATCACCTGGTATGTAGCATCCTCATATAGCTGTTGAATTAGATTGATAAGGGTTTGTGGTATTCCGTAGGGTCGAAGCAACTGCCAAATTACTTGTCGGTCGACGCTGTCAAAGGCCTTTTCAAAGTCAATGAAGTTGGGGTAGAGAGTTGACTGCCATTCTATGCTCTGTTCAATGATGATGCGTAGCGTTTCAATTTGATGCGCACATGTTTTGTTCTTCCTGAAGCCACCCTGCCTGTTCTGTAACTACGTAACACTCATTTTGTTATAAGACAACATAAGATAACATAAATACAGTAGTACATTTGATGATATGTCGTAAAATATCAATAGACAGGCTTGTTATGTTACAGTTTGTTAACTTGATACACACACACACAAATACATACAGTCACACGACTTATTAGGGTCTTTTAACAAACAGTCTGCTTGCCTAAATATTTCTATGTTGTTATAAATTATAACACATGACCACATTCCTTGCATGGTTGAAGTTTGTCAGTGTAGAGTGTAGTTAACCTTAAAAATGGTTTACATTTGTGTAAGTCACAGAGAAACCGTGCCTGAGGAAGTTCGGAGCAGACTTCCGTGAGAAACGGTGGGATTATTTTATTTCTAGCACACTATGACTTAAAAAAATTTAGACTATTTCTTATGTTAGCCTATTATTCAATGGCCAATATTTGCTATACTGTAAGATCAGACCTTGATCATGGTTCATATAGTGTCGCTAATAATAAATGTCTAGGCATGTTTCCAATGATACCAATACCTTGAATTCATCACTTCAAATTTCAGATTTATCCAACTCCTCAACTATAGTAATAGACAACCATTCAACTGGTACAAATTCCTAGTAGGCATACTTTAGTTATGCATCTATAATTCGGTGATTTATGTTGCCTTACAAGCAATCAGCTGAAAACTGAAATCTTTCAGCCTCAACAAAGATTTCCATAATCAAACAAACCTTGTACAAATTAAATGTGTTCCGTA